CAGAATGGAGTCAGCACCCTGCTCACTAAGCTAAGTTGGCTGCATCTGAACAATGTTCAGTATTGCTTATATGGAAATGTAAAGTCTTAAGGGCAATAATACTTATTAAGGCAGTTTATAATCGATAAGGTTTTCTATATCTTGCACGCCATACTCTTGCTGTACCCCAAACAACAGCTCACATAAATGTCGCTAAAGCAGCCTCAAAACCCAATCAATTTTCCGGTAGAAGTTATAAAAATGATTTCCGCGGATTTCTCTCAAGTTCTTCAATTAAAATTCAAAGGAACTTGGACAAGTGGCACTTATGCAAGAAGTTGGCAACCAAGGTGTAAGATGTTTAAAGGAAGTCGGAATTACTGCATCAAAGGTTGTTGAAAATATATTCATCCCATGTGAATGTCAAAATGACAGGAAGTAGCATGAGACTCACAACATTCGTAATGCTCGCAAGCAGTCGCACAAACCTGCTTTTTGTTAAGCATTGCAAAAACTCAACTGTTTTCCTATCTGTGTAGTCTTCGTTGAGTTTGTCCTTCTTTGTACGAATTGGGATACTCAGTCTATCCATTTAAAATTTCTGTGAATTCTCTTAGCTTGACGTCATCAGACAACTACTTTGTAACATACTATACCTGAGTTTTCAGAGGCACATTCCCGTCTTGTATGTGGAAGGTGCGGTAATCGTAGAAAAATGTTAATTATTATGTAGGTTGTGGATTTCAGAGTGGTTCTTAGTCCTGACTGGAAACTTGGAACAAGGTGTAGTCATGCAGTTTTTGCCGATTTTTATAAATCAATCTTAACCACCTTGCCAAAAACCTCCGCCATTTGCTTCCTGGTAATCTGCTTATGGCGATGCCATTGATAAATCTTGCTGCTTTGTTAAGGCCACCCGCTTGCCCCTGGCTTGTTCCAAATCAGGTCATGAGCATTGCACCTGTCTTCGAAAACAAATACAGAAACACTTAGTCCTCCAATGACTTATTTGTTTTTATTTACAAAGCAACATCTTATCAAAATTCAGCGGCCTCATTACTCCGTTTTACTCACTCAATGTAACCTTTAGTCAAGGTCTGCCCGCCCACTACGACACCAACTTCCCCGCCGCAGGAGTCCTGGATGTAGGTCCAAACTACCAGTCTTCTTTAAAACATAAAACTTACAAAACCGAATTGAAAGGTTTATTCAGAGTCAAGTTGCTAAAGTGGTCGTTTTCCAGGACAGTTCTTTTGTTAAGGTGCACACATTATTATATCACATATAATAAATTATATATATATGTATATATATCATGTACATTATATTATCATTCGTTCGGTAAAACACATAACGTGCGGATGTTAAACAAAAAGGGAGCGATGCCAGAGGTCCCTTATGCATTACTACGTCTTCGGCCAATGTTTAGCGCTAGCGCTCAGCATCCCTTATAGCATTCTACTCGCCCAGGACTAGCCGGTCGCGGGCTAGTGCTAAGATTGTCTGCATTTTTTCAGTAATCCTAGTGGACACTGCCCACGCGGAGACAGTAGGTTGACGCGCCTTACCGGGCGAGTGGAGGGTGCCTTAGCCCGAGGCGATTTAAGTCGTCAGACAAGGGCCTAAATTCCGGACAAAGTGTGTGCGTGCACCCTGAATGCGTGCGTACGCGCAAAGGGACCCACAGGTGTGTCGTGCAAAATGCACTCGGGTGAGCATCAAGGAGGGGGTGTAGCAGAAAAGCCCCTTTCCCCGCACAGATCGAACGCTGTTAGCCAGTCGGATTATTAGTCCTGCACTCGCCCGCAAGTCAAACGAGCTAGCAACTGTTTAACTCTGGACGACTAAATGCTATCAGGGATTGACCAAAAACTTAGTAGCGCATCGTTTTTCAGAAGCCCCAACTAAATAAATGTCATGAAAAGAACTTAACTTCGTCTGGTATGAATTTAAATCTTTCTCCTGAAAGTCAGGAGAGAGATTTGCATTCATTCCAGACGAGGTTAAGTTCTTTTCATGACAGATATATAGTTTGGGCTTCTGAAAAACGATGCATCAATAATAAATTATCTATTTTGTACTGATTAGCGTTGACATGTAGGTCAGGGACGTCCCCGTTACCCTGACGTAAAATTTCCTGTTGATCTCGTTTTATTTGCAAGGACCGGGCTTGCCGGTTGGCAGGACATTCGACACCAGCTCTTTCCATCCTCTCAGGGAAAAGCGATTACGCTAGAGGTAGCCATCTTCAAGTTCTTAACTTCATAATTGTTTCAAAAAAGTCGCAATGGAGCATATTCTCCAACGGTAGCATAATACTGCATCATACTCTAATGTGCACCATGGAGTAGTCTATACCGTCAGGTGTAATAGATGCAAGTCCAATAGCAGTAAATGCCCTTCAAGAAGTCAACTTAAAATTTTTTATTCAGATCATTCCGTAGTCAATAAATAGTCATTAGGTAGTCGGAAACCCTTTCAACGCAAAATAATAAATAGTCAGGACCCAAACAGCGTCACTCTTTTAGTCTGCAAAATTTCTGATTTCCACCATCTATTTCCTTTGTACGTTTGTATACCAACTGGGGCCGGATGGTGTAAACATTTACAGACATATCGAAAAAAATAACTTTGTGTGCTATTTCTTAATTGCAATGGGAGACTTAATAGTTACAATGAAATAATTGAACAGTTTGAGTGGAAATATATGATACTTCATACAACACGTAATCCCTTGATGTTTATTTTCATTAATTACAAAATAATTGAGGTTTCTTCCTGACAAATCTCCGAGTCAAAAGTATGAAACAGTCGAATTGTACAAATTTTTATTCTCATTACCTTTCTCACTTTCGTCTAATCAGAAAGCTGAAATATACAAGTTTTGTGAGACGAAAATGTTCATTTTCCCTTCAATTTTATGTCGCAGAGTATCCATTCGTCAAGGCCGAATTGGTTGACTTGGATAAACTTCTTTTTTATTTACAATCCCTAGATCGAAATATTAACGCTCGACGGGGTATAACAATAGTTGGCAGAAGAATCCACTTTGTGGAATGGGAGGGGCAGGCTGTGGTGTTTCTTTGCTCTTCGTAGGCCACCTGAGTTGGTTGGCCATCGAGACCAATTTCACCTTTTCAACTGCAGGGGCCAGAACAGTCTAATTTATACACTTTAGTGTTTGAAGAAGTAAACCTTTAGCAAGTTTTCCCTCTTTGACTTTAAACAACTGTAGTACATGTACAAATATCCCCTCCGAATGTCACTAACGACGACAGATGGGGAGGGTAACCGCCAAATATTTAGCGTTAAAAATTTCTATCGCATAAGCTAAAAATATCAATACTGATTTTTAGTTTAATTAGGCCTAATTTGAGTACTTTCTTCTTCTCCATGCCCGTTAGCGCACTGTTCAGCTACCAGACAATGTCCCAGTCTAATAATTCCGCGGCTGATTTATCCCTCAAGGAATACTATGAACATCTCAAGTCAATAATCAAAAGGTTGAACAGGTAAGGACACCATTTGGCTGCATGCCTTCTCTTTAGGAAAGTGAGCGATAGCCCAGACTGCCGGCAAAAAATTATCCGCCAGCTGAACAAACAGGGTGTGGACGTATCCACTGCCGTAAAGATAATACAAACTGAAAGAAAGACCTCCCGTAGGCGCAGAGATAGCAGTTCCAGCGAAGAAAGTGATTCGGACAGCGATTCAGACTCCGACTCCGAAAGCAGCAGCGAAAGCAGCAGCAGCAGCAGCAGCGGAAGCAGCAGTGAGAGCAGCAGCGAAAGTAGCAGCAGCGAAAGCAGCAGCAGCAGTAGTGACAGCGAAAGCACCTCAGATGATTGCAGTTCGAGTAGTGACGACTCGGATTCGGACAGCAGTTCCGACAGTGAGTCTGACAGTAGCAGTAGTAGCAGCAGTTCAGAGGACCAGAAAAAAGTAAGCCCCCAGAAGAAACAGAACGCCCAAAAGAATGTTAAGTTGTCCAAAATTCCGATGATATGAACACTTTGCTCCTCAGTAAACTTGGATATTTTGCATCTGAAAAGTTATGTACATACAAATATCTTCCCTAACAGAATTTTTAAAATTGTGCTGTATTTTAAACAAGACGTACATTGGCGAAACACTATGAGGTAACACTTTACGCTTCTTTTTCATACCAGTAGATATAACTCGCGCCTATTTTAAGACGGCCTGGAAATTCAAATGACAGTTTCTTTCAGATCGCTGTCTTTGCTACCGTCATCTTATAACCAAAGGGAAGTTGCTGTATTTGCTTGCGTGCTTCGATGGCGTCGTAGCTGGAACCGTTGTTTTCAACTCTGATCTGCCCCCGAGCTTACCAAAACCCAGAGACAAAAAAGGTTTAGAGCTTTGACAGATAATAAAAGGTCTACACTTCTGTCAACATCCGGGTTTCAAAGTTAAAACGCTAGCGTCCTCGGGAGATCAAAATGACTTCTTATTTCAGCGATGACACCCATGTCTGATGATGAATAATCGAAGGCGTACGCTTGCCGGACTTGACTATTTTACTTTCTTTTTCGCGGGGACTTTTCAATCTGCGTAGTTTGATTTGTTGCTGCCATAAAAGTAAACCAAGAGTTTCTGTCTTAGGTTGACGCATTTAATGCCACGACATTCAAAACATGTAGTCTTGAGTTTCCGAAGTGCACCGACCATCAACACGATTTTTGCTCGCGAACTTGATTTCTTCCAACAGTCTACCACAAAAAGTATAAGTTTTTGAAATTACGAACCATGGCAAGTGTTTTTTTTATATGAGGAACGTCCCTTAGACTACAATAGACCGCCTTCTGAGGCCGCACGAAGGTAGCACTAGCCCATTTCCACAGCTGTAGCAGCCCAGCAGATGGAGCACCTGACCTGGATGTTGGGAGTCGGCCGTTTTTTGGCTGCAGAAGTTCCGAAGTGGCAATTCGGCAGGCGTACGGGTTCAATCGACCACAGAAAGTTCTGGAACATTATCTATTGGTGTGTGATTAAATTCTGAAAAGAAGTTAAAGAATTTACTCATGTCTCTGGAATTTCACTTGACACCTGTTTGGATCTAACGAACCACCACTAACGTTGTTTAGCATGGACGCTAAACAGAAGCGTTCTAATGCATACTAAAAGAACTGGCTGCCGGCAAAATGAGTTGGAAGCTTGACTAATATTGCACAATGTAAAGCGATCTCTGAGGTGTACCGTTCTTTGCTCTTTAGGTCTGAAGATCAAAGCTTAAAGCAGAAGAGTAGAACCGTCCCTGTGGACAAGGATTAGGAAACAATGCTGGCCAGAAATAGCAGTAATTGGTTTTCCACCGGGACATTTGACTTCTGTTGTTGACAAGAGTGGACCACAATTCCGACTGCTCGTCAGTTATTCACCGCCAGTTATACATTTTTGCACTCGTATAGCGATATGAAACTAACTAATTAGTCCGTGATTGCTTGCATCGTTTTGCACTCGCACGAGGGACAAATTGGATTTGTGATGAAAATGTGAGAGGCATAATCTGCTTAATTAGTCTGGGGGCTTGTCATATTTCAATAAGGACTTTTGATTGAGTGCATCAACTTCCTCCTGGCTTAATCTTTTGCGGCTTTGCAAAAAGTATGGTTTTTGGGGTGTGCAGCAACCGCATCCGGTAAACAAGCCAGTCACCTTTTTTTCAAAATCATCATGTCTGATGATGTGTTGGAGGACAAACTAAAAACGAAAGGCAAACAATGAGTTGTCCTGCAACCCGGCCTTCCTTTTTCGCATGAATTGTGTTCAACTGATCGTTATTCTCATTCACCTAGCACGCATATTTCATGGAAAATGCCTTTACCGTAAGCTCAGCCATGGTAGAAGCTATAGTCCGGATAAATGTTTTGCACTAGATTCGCGGCTGAATTAGTAGGTACCATGGCGTTTACAAGGCAGTTTCTTGAAAAATATCTAGTCGTAAAATAACAACAGGGCAAAGTGGCTAAGAGTGCTGGAAAGGTCACCTTTGTCAACGAAGACATCGAGCCTGAAGAGTCAGGCTGGACCGTTCCACTTTGGCCCCAGCCAGCCGCTTTGTTGGAAATAAGACGGGATGAAGGTACAAGTAATTTACAAACTGGGGTTATACCGAAAACCACATGAAGAACGTCGGTGCGTCGATGGTGAGCCGAACCCTCTGGAGTGTGGGAAGTCGACAAAACGCGCATGGACGCTTGGGAATTTGCAGATGTGAGCACTACGCCAGTAGAAGGTTGAAGTTGATGCCATTCAAGTCCAGTGCTTACGCATATCATGTCCCAACGGTCTTAATCTTAGTTTTTTACATTATTTTTTAACGAAGTTGCATTTAATTTTGCTTATGAGCCCATTTGTTTCCTATTGTGGCCATTATAATGAGAAGAGATTGCTAAGCAGTACCATCGAGTGGGTCTCAGCACTCAGTGTGTAACAAATGGTCACACTAATCAACCGCAGGTTAGGGACAATGTAACGCGGAAAACTGATAAGAGATTGGTTGTCTTCCCTCAACCAGCACACCTACAGATCTTCATGGAGACTATTTATGGCGCAAAAGCACATTTCTATGGAAAAAGCAAGTACCGATTAACGGCGAGCGTGTGCGGACTTTCGAATTTGCGCGTTTTTTTAGGCAGGCCCGTATTGAAGTCCACCGGAGTAGGAAGGGCATCTAGCATATTTTTTCCAGTGGCTTGCTACCCGTGAAACTAATTTTGACACATCGATAAATAAAGCTGGCTGAGTAGAAAAGTAGTATAAAACTTTGTCGTCTGAGATATATACTTGGGTCTATTTTAACAATATTCTACATAGAGATTATACATTCGTCCATATATCAACTTCAGGGAGGTGAGTTACGTTGTTGAAACACTCGGCAGGATCCTACTACATGAAATAATAATGGATCTTTGCGAAAGTGCCATAGTGTTAAATAACTCTCGGCATTTTCACTCTAAAAACTGGGGTTCATAGGACTGGGCAAAACTCAAAAGCTTTTATATAATGAGAGTATGAGAGTCATCTTGATGCCAGTCTGAAATTAAAGGAAGTGCGGGTTTCACAGAATGTAAAATTCAATGAAGTCGAAAAGTTCGCGAAAGTTCATCAGGGTTGCCATCGCACTCTCTTCAAATGATGGTAGAGTTGAGATACCGCCTTTCCATACCGTCTTCTGTCAATTTGACCTTTGGTTAAGGGAAGTCCTCTTTCCTGTGAAGGATCGTGTCGAAAAAGGTTAGTCAGTTGTAATTTTCATGCGCACTCATTGACTATTTCTCCGCAAATGGCCTGCTCATGCCAGTAAACTGTTACTCTACCGTCTCCAACTATCTACTAAAACAAAAATCTCATCAAGATATCCTACATGCCTTGTATTCTGGCTCGAAATTGCTCACAGAGTTCTATGGGGAAATCGAACGAGCAACCTACTGTTAGACTGTCCAAGTACCTGTATGAATAACAGTTGAAAAGGAGGTTTGCTTGCATGCATAAATATAGATACTTACACAAAGTTAGTGACTTCAAACCAAATATTATATCAATGGTTGCACACAACAGCGCATCGGATGGACAGACTTTGGACTGCTTCACAGTCTGTGTGAAAGCAGAGGTAACTTTTATCGCGGACGCAACACGATCTCAACAGGCCAGTTTGCCAGACAAAAGCTATGTGAGCTTGTATGAGAAATCATTATGGCCGATATCGTTTAACCTTATTTGGTTTGTTCGTCAAAATTTACTTTGGAAGAGAATGATCCAACCCCCCTAGTTGGCCTTTATTCTGGCTTAGGGCATTTCCCTGCACATTCACAAATAACTTCATGCCAATGAATTGCCTCCTGCCCAAATTTCTAACCTTTTAAATGCACAAAATTAAAATATAATTGTGCCATTAATGCATAATGGGATCGCAGCGAATCCCAGTTTTATTTGAATGAAATGGCAGGATCAAACTTACAAATTTTGACTGGTGACGACCAGTTTGAAGTATACGATGGTCTGTAGGAAGTCACTGCGTGAACTAGAGAACCGCAGAAAGCCAGGTCACCGGCAGTTAACTGGGAGTAAACCGTGAAGTCTGTGCTTGGATGATGATGATGATGATGACGACGACGACGACAATAATAATAATAATAATAATAATGGTGAAGAGGATTATGATGATGACGGAGGAGGAGGAGGGGAGGGTATCGTGACGCTTAAAATCCGTATTACGGGTGGTTCCTGTTTGCCCCTCCTGTCATGGGGAGGGGACATGTAAGCAATCACTACCGACTGGGTTTTACTATTGCGTCAACGAGGTGAAACCATTTGTACAGAATTTTGAGGTTTTTGTTTAATTTCAGAGGAAATAAATGCGCGAACTTGGAGTAATTCATTTGGAAAAGACCTTTTCAGGCACGGTCCGAAATTTGATAAGAACAGTTGAGCTGAAATCCATCAGCTACTGCGGTATAACCGCGTAATATTCCCAAACCGCCAACAGACAGCCAGTAGTATAGAATTTGGTAATTATTTACCGTACACAGAACACGGTCATTAGCTAAAAGCCTTTTAGCTAATACTTGTGTTGTTAATACGGTAAATAATTACAAATTTTGAAGTCTGTTATTTATTTTTTTGGGAATATACTGTTTGACTTGTATGGATACTTTAAAAAGTCGTCGGGGAATCTTTTTTGCAAAGCATATGTCTGCGAATGTCTACGAAGCGAAAACTCAGCATACTTTTCCCCGTGGAAAATAATTTAAAATTGGAAATCTGAATCTCACGTCATGATAATATCCTCTACGTTTAGTCGTCATTTTCTACCAACTTAAGCGATAACTCCAAAAACTGGTGTTAACGCATATGTAAATTGGCATGTAAGATTGTTGTAGGCGGTCATTTCAAAATCTAATCTCTAACTTCCAGCAAAATTACTGTGAGAATGTGGATTTTTATCTCTCATTTACATGCAACACACCTGAGCAAGGGAAAAGGAGACTGGTTGAGCACCGAAACCATTTTTTCACCTTTCCACATTTGCAAACTCTTGGCGGAACCCCCCCCCCCCCGAGAAGACAGCAGAGACAGAACAACCCACAATTAAAGGCGTATTAGCCAATCAAGAATCGACGACTGCAAAAGGCTCCGTATGGCGATGCCAGATCCAGACATCAACTAACAGAGTTCTAATCCGACGCTTAGGATCCAATCACTTTTCGACTTGTCACGCCTCCGGTATGCGCAATTATCGCGGAGATTGCGAAGTTGAACTAGTAAACCGTTTCGGTGGTGTGGGCCGCCACTGGCGATAAGTCGTTATGCTTGTGTCATTCGGGTCGCTCATTCAGGAATCATCGCAGGCAGTCTCATAGCGACTGGACTGCGCTGGCAGACCCTGTTATCGGATGTCGTCACACAAACTAGGACCCCTGCCACGTCCCGCAATGTTTTGTCGGTCAAAATCCTGGTCATCTGTTGTGTGGACCAGGTGGTGCGGGTTGGAGCACCAAGCCATCCACCTACGGCCTCCCACGTCTCCGGTCTTCTGGACTCTGTCTTGACACCGGGCTCAGGCGGGGGAGGAGGAGAGAGTGTGGTAGATGCAGTGCAAGTCTACTGACACTATAAACCCCTGCGCAAGTCACCGTCCCTGCTCCCACCACCTGCCGTGGGACATCGTCGGTGGACATCGTCGGATACGACGGTCGAACTTTCGCGTGCGTGCGTGTGAGGCGGTTGGCTAGAGGACTGGGGGTCAGGCTCACTGTTTCCCTCCCAACGTGGCCTCTAAAGCGCTTTCACGAACTTTAAATCCGAGCCCTCCTTTCTGTGAAAACCTGGCACATTCTGCAGGGACCAAATCTTGAATTGTACCTGTAGACAGTTTGTCTAGCTTTGTCAGCCACTGCGCCCGTACATTTGACACTGCCTTGCCGTCGAAGCATAGTGGGGGAGGGAGGAGAGAGTGCGGTAGATGCTGTCCAAGTCTGCCTCACTATAAATCCAGTCACGCTCAAATAACTGGCGCTGCACCCTCATGAAAACTTTCGATGTCGTCGCTTGTGACGTCGGGCTGTCATACGTAGTTGAGGTGCTAGTTTCCAGGGAAATTCAGCGCACTCCTCATTAGAACAAACATGACACGCATCAGATGGCAATCTCAGTTCATGCCAGCCACTGCGTCCAGTGTCGCTGACTTGGACAGGTCACGGATGTCTGGGAAATGGAAGAAATTAAGCCCGATCCGGCTTAAACTTCCTCACTGTAAACAAGCAAATGTATTTTGACGCAGTCACGATGCGCCAATGGCCGTGAACAGATCAGAGACCCCTGATTGAAGCCAAGTACGCGTGGAAACAAGCACAAGCTCCTGCGTGTCAAGCGCAAGTGGGTCGAGTAACCTTGTCAGCCATTGCAGCCACGCCTGCACCCACCATTACGTGTCATGCCCTCGGAACACAGTGGTAGTGGAAAAAAAGCGTGCAATGTCGAAGGTGAAAGTTGACGTTACTAAAAACACCCACAGCTCCACCCAAATAGCGAGACCTCGTCGTTGTGACGATCGGACTAAGGTTGTCACTTAATCGAATTAGTGAAGTGAACCAGTGTAGAGAGATCTCGGGTGTGCAGTCTCGTTTTAATCATCTTTGCATTGTTTCCCCTGACTGCCAGTATGCGAAATCATTCGTGGAGGACACTAGGTGACTGTATTTAAATCAGAAAGGGTCAACTCACGAAAAAAGAAATCGTACACATTTCCAAATAAAAGCGTTATATGACTGGCTTCGTCAGTGATTTTACAGCCAGACAAGGACGTGATGAAATCACTCCTGTAGGGCAAAGATTTGTGAGATTTTAAGAGAGAACCCATTGTTCAGTAACTTCGGAAGACTTTCTGGTAAGCCATACAAATTGGCCTCTTTTCAGATTCATGCATTAAATGCATCTGATGCTTCATTTGTGGATAAAAAGCCGTTCCACACTTTAAAAGTCTCAAATATTCTATGTGAAAGCTTTAGCCTGAAACAAGCACCACATCGAAACGAAGAAGGAGTGTCGATAGGCGTAGGTAGATGCCTGACTGGACGTACAACTTGTCACACTTCGTTTCCGACAGAAGCAAAGAGGCAAATCCAAGGACTCAGCTGAGAAGAAGAATATGCAACCGCCGGAACAAGAAGTTTATTGACTCGAAGTTCTGGATTCCCACTTGGATCGATTATCAGAGACAACCACAGAAAATAATAGCAGGAATGCGAGGAGCACGACCGGCGACCGCATGCTTACAATAATCAGCAGCAATCGCGTTCATCGTTGGAGGTCTTATTTGATGTGCTGGTTGCTTGTCGGTCCATACCTGAGCCGTTAATGGCTGTGATTTCCTCCTCATTGATGGCTCTTGACGTGACGATTACTCGTCAGCTTGGCTCACCATCACCGTGGCTGTTGGTCGCCCGCGTCCGTCCGGCGTGCCTAATTATTTCGCCCAGACAAAATCGGAGCATAGAATATGGCAGCAGAAGGTCATTGAGCTCGTTAACTGAATGTGGGAATGTTTAGAAAGGCGACTAATGCGACGCAAATGCTTATAATACAGTGAAAGACGTCGATAGGCTAAACCAGCGCTTTGTTCACATAACTGGCATGGGAAACCGAGAGAAGCGAGACGGCAAGCGCATGTCAAGAGTTACCGATGAGTTCTAAGTGATGTGAGTTGTCCCATCAAGTTATGTGTATTACGCTAATGAGATAGGAAACTGTAATTGATCGATTGCGCGCAATCAGTACAGGGAATTATAGGTTCTAAGAATGATCTAGCTGAGGACGTCTGATGTAGCAACTCCAGCCCATCCAGTTTCAAATTTATTATTCTCAGGACTCGCCATCGTCATTATATTGACAGTTCGATCGTCGTACCCGAGGATGTCCAGCGTGTGCTGCACAGCAAGCTGAAGCAGGCACGGTGACTTGCGTGTGAATTGGTTTGTAGTGATAGTAGACATGCGTTGCATCTACCGCACTTTCTCCTCCACCACCTAAACCCGGTGTCAAGAGACAGTCAAGATGACCGGAGGTGGGAGAGGTGGCACGGCCAGATCTGCACCTAGACATACCACCACTTCCCCCTGGTCTACAACAAACACTTGATAAGGATTTTAAACAACAACAACAGCACTACAACTGGTCAGAAAGACGACGAGGATAACTGGGCAGCCATGCTCACACTGAGCACTACCTAAGGTTAGGTCAAAGAGGGGGAATTTACATAGCACGGATTTTTCGGGAAATTTTTTCGGAACTACTTGTTAATTAGGAACTGCTTTGGAGGACTTGCCTGTACCTCTGAGTTTGCTGAATGAGGCCAGGCTTGAATTCAGGCCAATTCCATACATTTTTAAAAAAGTAGGTAAGGGGAAATTTGAAAACGCAAAAAGACTGAGGGCACTGACAACGGGATACGAGCACAGCCGTGGCCTGAGGCAATATGGCAAAGTTCGTTAAAAGCTCTTGCTCCAGCCATCGTTTCTCCTTCTTCACGAATACTTCCTGAAACTCGCCTCTTCGCTTTTAGAAGAAAAGATATTTAAATGTGGCGTGCACGTTCAGCTTGACGATACAGCATGTGTTGTTCACGAACGTCTGAAAACGGCTTGATGAACGGATCTAAGAACTTAGTAGTATCACAAACTTTGATCCCCAATATTGTCACCAATTAAAAGGGGACACTATTTTTTACCAGTTAGTAATAGTGGTAAATGACTTTAGCACACCTTTGCAGGCATTGCCAAGAAGGTATTGCATTGTCGAATCTTTACTACGATGGGCACCTTAAAGCGCCTTCGCCGCCCTCACGCAACAGCTACTGCGAAGTCTTTTTGTTTCTTTCTCTAGGCACACAAAAATAAATATCGTCTGTTATTTTATTCTAGCACAATTGCTCCCCGCAGTAAAAAAAACCTGGCCATAAACCATACCCTTGCCGGACGAGCCAGTTGGGGTTGTTACATATGACCAATTCCTTTGGTCCTTGGACAGTTTGGTAACCTGCCTCTGAGCAAATGTTAGGAATTTATAGCCACAGTGAGACCCATTTCTTCGAGCTTGGCTTGTATTTGCAAATTGAGGTCAAGGCAGTGAATTGAGGGTTCCATTAAGCTTGTCATTTATTATTGGCAAGTCCATCTACACTCTCGTTTTTAGAAGTTCCGCGTCCAGTCGATTGTTATTAAAACTGGAGTCACTGTTTTAGTTACCAAGCCGTTGTACAGTACGATTGCACAAGTCAGAACCCTGGATTAAAGTCATTATTTCGGCCGACTGAGGTCTTTCTAGCAATGCTCTTCACCATAACAGTTCAACCGTTGTGCTCGACGATGTCCACCTTGTGGTATTCAGCAAGATAAGGCAGGCGCGGTGACTTGCTTAGCATCTGCCGCACTCCCTCCTCCTCCTCCTCCTCCACCTGGACCCGGTGTCAAGACGTAGTCAAGGATATCGGAGGTGGGAGAGGGTGCATGTGGCTGGTACGGCCGGATCCGCACTTAGGTATACCTAGGTATGTCACCACATCCCCCTAGTCTACAACAAACACTTGATAAGGATTTTAACCAACAACAACAGCACCACAATGGGTCAGAGGGACGACGAGGAAGACTGGGCAGCCGTGGTCACGACCTGTGTACCCCGCGGGAATACAAGCGCATTTACCGGCACCGAACTAGGTGTCAGAGAACTGCCAGCGCATATCAGGCTGCGGGCGGCATGGTTCGCAGGTCATGGCATAGCCGATGCTTACATACCTCGTGTCATTGAACCACGGTGCAGTTTATTGCAGTGTCCAGTAAAAAGCTGATGGGAAAGAGTTACCTTGTGCGCAGACAGATCTGACATCGCTTTGTCTAGCAACCCTGGAGGTCATCAGTCGAACAAAAGGGAAAATCCGGTTTATTTCCCTCTGTGCAAGAAAGGAGCTAAACTGTTTTGACATTGCCAATTTCGCACCGACTTTGGCTGTGCCTGACAAAACCTGCACTTGTATTTGAAAAGTCGGCTGGCCTTGGAATTTCTTAAATAACTGTGACCTCATACTTATGATATTTATGTGATTCTCGGACTTGTGCTAAAACGCGGACCATATGGACGCGTTAAAAGACCTACAGTGAGCGACCTATCTCATGAAATGTTGACTGAAATTCTGAAACGTGTTTTCGATTGGGAAGGATTACTGAGGCGCGGTTGTAATACTAATTATCTTGCGGCATCATAGTATAGTATTTCAGACTTGACAGGATGTCAGCTTTTAAACACACCGCTTTTTAGTCTCCTGTAGAAAATGTACTCGGTAAAAAATGACTACTTAATTAGCATGCATTTTTCTCATTGATTTTCGATGGTCTTGCAAATTCAAATATATCTTATAGAAAACATAAACAAAAATAAGGTTTCTTTCAGTCAATTAGTAGACAATCACGTCTTCTTTATATTTTTTATTCAAGGAGGGAGTATAATTAGGTTTTAAAAAAGTTTCTAATTATGAGATTTTTTAAGACCGCGCAATGTCCATTCACATAGCATCGTACCTGGCCGTTTATGACAGCTCCTCGTGAAATGTACAATATAGTCCGGATCCATTGCAAAATTTTATAAACTCTATATGGTATCTTCCTAAAAGCATAGAGGAATATGTTATTTTCCTTATGCAGAAAGCATGCACCTCGTAAACTTAATTTGCTTAACGCTAATGCAATGGCAGATCTGACTCAAAATTATTCGCGGATTGGAAAACTTTTTGAAACCTAATTATACTCCCTCCTTGAATAAAAAATATAATGAGGACGTGCTGGTCTATTAATTGACTGAAATAAAGCGTATTTTTGTTTATGGTTTCTAAGAGATATATTTGAATTTGCAAGACCATCGAAAATCAATGAGAAAAATGCATGCTAATTAAGTAGTCATTTTTTACCGAGTACATTTTCTACAGGAGACTAAAAAGCGGTGTGTTTAAAAGCTGACATCCTGTCAAGTCTGAAATACTATACTATGATGCCGCAAGATAATTAGTATTACAACCGCGCCTCAGTAATCCTTCCCAATCGAAAACATGTTTCAGAATTTCTGTCAACATTTCATGAGATAGGTCACTCACTGTAGGTCGACTCCTGAACGTCCAATAAGACAATTCCTTCGTGAGTAGAAAGAAGGACGGTCTTGTTTTATCCATGGAATAGCAAAGTTGCATCGCGTTTTTACATCTGATGTCCGAAATTCTGCTGCGATCTCAATGTAAACCTTGGTATGAGGTTTTCCAACGTCTTCGACAACTGAGTGAAGGTTCGGTATGCCAAACCAAGATCATTCAAGGTTTCATGTATTCTATGGAGCCGCTGAGATCCACTGAATGCTCGTTTTCACTATCGAACGAAACCGATTGACCAATTTCATCAACAAACGGCAGTTAACTGACATTCAACCGAGTCCAGAAGATAGCATTTGTGAAGTGATAACGGTAAAGGGCTCAGGTTTCTGCCCAAAGAAAGTCACACGACAAAGTGTACCGCCCCTGATAATATCGTCTTGCGTACAAGCCCTCAAGATCGGCGAACCAGTTGCAGTAGACACCCTTCACCCCCGCCTCACTTACCCACAATGGCCCAGAACACTGGGTCATCGCAGGGACCTGTCTGGTCATAAGCGGTTTCGTGAGAACCTCCGGTAAAACGCCGCAGTCCAGACCCCATCACCACACCTCGCCCTACCTGCTCCCACACACTAGCCTGGGTTGTATATGAACCTATTTCAAAAAAGCAAATGCGCTTCATTTACGCAACAAAATGCCCCTCTCTCCTGTAGCATGCATGCGATCCGCTCTGACATTATCGCTATGGCGGGTGGAGCGTCACTCACCTCGCTTGCATGGAAGATATGCCCTTTGTGGTAGCCTGGCACATGTATTGGATCATGTGAGGCACACGTAGACGGACCATCAAGCTCTGTCGGTCTCTTCGCTCAATCTCATCGCCACTTTACAGAGAGGCTCTGACAGTCGATTGGCATATGGGAGGGGAAGGGGAGAGTGAGGCCGACAATGGGTAATACACTCCACGGAACATCAGCCGCTTCCTCGATGAAATAAATCTGGCAGCCCCCATGTCTATGAAAACACACCAAGAGTTGTGGCTTGGAAGGCTGCCAACTGACGGGATAAGTCGGTCCCCGTGGAAGTATTCTGGAGATACTGGAAGGCCGCTCTAGGCTCAGTGATTCCTTCTTGATGAGGTCTTTATGACACTCTTAATGATGTGAGATCCGAGTCGCCTTATGAAAGCCTAATACTTATTGTGGGGCCACACCCTGTTGGGCACGCCTAGGCGGGCTGTTTAACTTTGTCAGCCACATCATCCGCGCCCGCTAGCGGCCGTTTTGCCGTCTGAATAAAGTTCTTGAGGGAGGAGGGAGTGCGATAGACGCTCTGCAAGTCTGTCTTACGATAATATAATTCACATGCAAGTCACCGGTACTGCGCTTACTCTGTGGGGCATGTGGTAGAAATTGTCGCCTGCGACGGTCGAACGGTCACTATGCTTCGGTGAGTCATCTGACCCTTAAATAGGTAAGATGTGATTATGTAACCGCACCTAATAGACACAATACTGTTGACCTACTTCATTATTTTGAGTTGGTGTAATTACGTTGGCATGGTGCTGCTGTGCGTTGCAGTGGGTGTTCTGTTGGTGGCCTTGTTTCTTTGTTGCCGAGTCGACCTTTTTTGGCCCAATGTCGGCGGTCTTTCTTGACTTTCGGCTGCCGTCTCCTTCTAACTTTCGCGTTGGATGTTTCAGGGCTAGGGTTTAGGGCTGCGGCTAAGGTTCAGGGGTTAAGGTTAGGGGTTAGGGATGAGAGTTAGGGGATAAGGGATAGGAGTTAGGGCAACTATTTATCAGCCACTCAAAGTACAACCGCGCATTCCCAATAGCTTTTCTTTTGCACGCAATTATTTGACCTCGTCGCCCTGACTGTCCGCGTCGTGATAGTTCCAAAGCACACTTGGCTGTTTAGAATGGGGAAGCAGCCACGGGATCTAAACTGGCTCCGGCTTAATCTCTTTCCTCCCCGATACCTCAGCAACCTGTTCGAATTAAGCTCACTAGCAGTGAAATTGGACAAAATAACTGTCTTAAAGTGGAGTTGACGACCGATAGTGCTTCACATCAGCCTGAAGCTTGCAGAAGTGAGACGCACCCTAGAGATCACACTAGAGAGGGACCATTGCAGTCTGGCCATGAGAGTTAACCTAAGTTATCCTGACAGCAGGTAACCTTCCGTGACACGACCCTAGGAGTGTAGCAGTAGACTTAAGCGCGTCATATTTGTTGTAGTGAAGGAGTTTAAGCACCACGGGGAACAGATCCACACCGCCGCCACAGTATGCCATGAGTGTGCGGACAAACAAACGAAGAAGGCTCCAGGCCACTGTGAGCTTCTACAGCGTTGGATCTCAGATTTTTATCTCCAGCTGTGCCCACTCCCAGTTTTACCACGCCAATTCCTACTAAACATCACTAATCAAGTGCTGTGCTAATTTGAGTAAATTCCGGTTTTTTAATGTTTCATTTGGCGGTTCGCTCGACGCATCGATAGCGACCGATACCGTTTGACAACTTGCAACGCATGTAGCTCAGCCTTCAGCTTACCAACACTGTGACGCCGACCGACATATTGATTTCCAGTGATTGATCGCAGCCGGACATAACTCAGTCGCGCGCTCACACCCCTGACGGAGAACAAAACACTAATACCTGCCTCTCGCAGTTCGCCCGAACAACTACTGCCACAGCATTCTGAGGTGCCTCCACTTTGCCGGTCACAGCAAAGCCTTTCTTATTAATTCAGCCTCACTAACTTTTGATTTGGGGAGCTTCTCTTTGTCGACTAGCGCACCTCCACATACTCTCAAGAATCTTTCTTGGTTACGTGGTCGCGGACGTTGCCGGAGCGTAAACAGATGATTATTTTGGAAGAACGGTTGGATTATAGCCGCCACCTATCCAATCTTAAGCTCAGCACATGCTAGGATGAAATATGTTCAGATTCCCGTGCCGTCTGCGATAAACATATTCAGACAATCAGTTTAGCGTCAAATCTCTATGAGACTTGTGGTTTAACCCCTCCTCCCCATCATAACTTTTAACTAGCCGTCATAGCATTCGGCAAGCAGTTCTTAGGGACCCACACTTTCTTATAACCTGTGTTTCTATGGATTCCAAATCACCCCCCCCCCTACGAGGCTATTCGAAACTGCGGGAGTGATGTTTTGTTGAACCGACGGCCGCCGCCAAGGATTAGTCAGCCATTATTTTACTATGTGTATCGGCTGGTGCCTTGACTGGTTTAGGCGGTTCTAGCTTGCAAAACCTTGCAAATCGGTGCAACCCACTCAACCATGGGGCCTTAGGCAACATGTGACGCCAGTGGCTTTTGAAGACGTTTACAGAACTTATGCCTACTCAGGGGGGGGGAAGGGCGTGAGTCTCCAGATGTGTCAAGGGTTATATGAGGCGGTGTGCAGCTATGGTATCTAGAGTTCAAATATAAAACTATTAAATTGGAAACTGTGCTCACACCCCACATGTCACGTACATCCTGCATGCCTTCATGAGTCCCTTTTCATGCTAACCTTACACACATTCGTAGCAGAAGCCGAAGTTCTTAAGGTATCGACCGAAACATCAAAACGTTCTTCAAAATTCAAAATATTCCATAAGCGGAGTCGCAGTGGTTATGAGCATGGAACATATACCAAGAGAGTTCGCGTTTAGCACGCTGGTTTTGCTTGGGCACCTCTCTAACAACCTGCATAAATCGCTATCTGAAAAAATAGCAACTTAAGTACTGTTTATTTCTTCCGCTGATTTTCTACGCCCCACTTAAGCCTACTGGAGATTATACGGAGGGCAACGACGGGTCTAGCACCAAATCTCAGCACATTCTGATCATACCTACGGCTTGTTTTTGCCTATTACACAAACCAGCCTATAAACAAAGTCTAGTGGCTTCCAATGCACACCGGATACGCTCGCTTAGTCTAACTAACAAGCGAGGGCGGTTACTGGATTTGCTCACTCCGCGGAACAGCTTTGCGAAGCCACAGATAAGAGTTAATGACCTGGGTGAAGGTTGCTGTGGATTGGTCGCCTTGCAATGAACATATCCGCCATCATGGTCCCCCCGCGCACTCTATCGAAGTGAGTTTGAAAATAGCTTGCCCCTAAACGAAGATTCCGGTCTCAGGTTAGGCAATCAGGGCTACAAGTCGAATCAGAGGAGATATGTGACTCTGGAACTACTGGGCAGATTCTATAAAACTGGGTCAAACTGTCTGACCGACTGCAAGACGAAGACATAATCGAGCGTGGCATAGGCAAGGTGCACTTGACCTTCGTTAAACCCCGTCGAAACCTATGGAATGGCCGTGTGGTCAACAAACAGAATGGAATGAAGGCTTCTGGCGAGGTTATTATTCAAGGAGAAGAGAAATGACTTATGCATTCAGAAAACTCTAGTCGATTGGACGTAATCACAGTCGATGATACTTGCTCCCTGTTCTATGAATTTGGTGCTAAGAGATCGAGTTCCCTTCGAAAGTCTTCAAGATATGAAGTTCATATCACTAGCAGGGTAGTAAGTAGCGAAGCAGTGGAGAGTAAGTCTGAAAACAGAACCCATAATGCCGACCTTTCTAGCCCAACTAAACTGATTGTATAATACGCCCAACAATATATATTACTAGCTTCAAATTTGCCCTATTCCGAGTTCGGTATGTTTAGTCGTTGGTCTTTTGTTTCCACCTCAGTCTTTACAGTCTTACATGCTTTAAACAACGTGATATTTGCTATTGTGCATCCTGCCCACACTATATCTCCGCCACTTTACGGAGTAAGTCAGATTGCCGATGGGAGTAGTTACGTGGTTACTTAGAATCTCTTTGTACAGAATTTGGATTTTCTGTTCCCAAAAGTTCAGGCCCCTTATCTGCCGATGTCAGATGTTAATAGTAAAAGCCCAGAATCTGCAAAAATACCGAGATCGCAGGATATACAGATAACACAATAAATGTGAAACGCCACTGACCTGATCATTTGGTGAAAAATCAACCAAGACATCTTCTCTAAATGTTTTTGGTAAGATGTGGTTATGGAGCCCCACCGGATGGGCATAATACTATCGGGGTTGGGGTTAGGGGTAATGGTTAGGGTTAGAGGTTAGGGCAACTATTTTTCAGCTACTCAAATTAAATCCGCGCATTTTTAACAGTTGTTCCTTTGCATAGAATTACTTGACCTCGTGGTCTTTGCGTTCTCCGGCCCCACCTGTAAAAACCCTACTACCACCGGACCCATATCACAGGCGGCTGGGGATTGTTTACTTCAGGTGCGGTTAAATAACCACACCTGACCATCTTTTTTCCGATATTTGAACTTGCCTGACTTGACGATAGGACACCACTGCTGTAAGACGCTTTGCGATTGTTTTGGGCTAACTGTTATTATGTAAGCAGACAGTACTGTTCGAGATAACTACAACTTCGGAGGACTTTATAGGTGGCTCGACGGCGCGTTTGGTCTAATGAAAATTGTACCCACACACAACTTCAGAGTTCTCAAAACCTGGACTAGCACTGAACACGGACTGAACGCCTGATAAGATTTTCGGTCCGAAATAGGGGTCACAGATAAACCGAAATCCCTCGTAGTAGAACCTATGTGGTCGTAATGGCGGTATTCGCCTGAAGAAACATGAGTACCCGACTCGGTTCGTAGAGCCCATGTTCCTTCTCCATCTCATTACACACGCTTTGGTGCGACCTGTTAGTAAATGCCTCTAAGAACTGAAAACGCCTTGGGCTGCCTACATCGTATGCTACAAAAAAATTAGACCAATTCCATCTTATTTAAGTCAGTCTGAGGGCCCAGAAATACGCGAGAGTTGGTGTTAGGGCCGATAATTAACACTGAGGCGAGTTCACAAAGTTGGTGAACTGACTCTGACTCTGTCTCTGATGATGGATTTGAGTGAGAATCCGAGACGTCAGGCTAATAAAGGTATTGTTCCAGCGATCGTGTCTTCTTCTTCGCGACTACTTCCTGGAACTCGCCTCTTCGCTTCTATTAGCAAGTTGGTGAACTGTTGCTATATTTCGCCAGAAATTCCAGTATTGTTCCCGATCACAGGTACATCTTCCCTGCCAATACGTTCATTCTATAAATATTCTGGATAAAACCTTTATCAGCATAGTTTGAGTAACGGCCGTGATTCCTCGAAAAATGACTAAAATCTAGAGTATAGCGGTCACCAGCAGTATTTATGTTGATCAAGGAATTAAAAGGACACCTTTTCCTTTCAGTCATTTAGTAAAAGAGCCCCCAGGACTGCTTACAGGAGGCTGCCATGCCACTAAATGTCAAGGCCGATGCTGAGGGCAGTAAGCAGACATTTCTTGAAAGGCACCGTGCGCAATACCACTGAGTGACCACGTAGAGTTGCTGGTAATTAAGCCATTCAGCGCTGTCTACATGACTGTGCTGAATAGTATTAAGCACACTGCCATGTCCAAAATTTCAATAGCATTCTCCAGGGGCACAGTTAAGTTCCGTCAAGCACACTTAAAGGGGAATAAGCCTGTGTTTGTGAACTCCCAGTTTTTGCATGCATATAGGAAGTATTGGCCACACCACAACGACATTACATTATCAACCGGAACTGATCTTGGCTCCTCATAAGTATGCATATGTATATATTTGTCGCTTGACTCTTGACTCTGTCTTGGCACGGAGCCCAGGTGGGGAGCAGGATGGAGTGCGGTAGATGCTGTGCAAGTCTACTATCACTATAAACTAACTCACAAGCAAGGCACCATCCCTGCTTCGCCTTGCTGTGGAGCACACGGTGGACATCGTCGAGACCGACGGTCGAACTCTCGGAGGGCTGTCAACTGGAGGGATAACTCGGTCTTCTCAGGGCCGAGAGTTAGATGGCAATGGCCCCTTCTTAATGTGACCCATATGACTTTTCCACTCAGTTGGGGTCCCCGGCCCCTTGTTTATGCGAACCCTGGTCGTTCTGCGTGGGCCAGGCGTGTGTGGCAAGTGCAGACGGATTGTCAGCCACTGTTGTGTGCCTAGACGTACACATGGATCCCCCGAAAAGAGGCTCGTCGTCTACTAAATGTCGAAGCTCCGGAGCAAGGGAATACGTGGCTGTGGCAACTGAGAACACGGAAAGATTTCCCTGCTTGATGTCACCGCGTCAGGGTAGACATTGGACATTTTATTTACCATTTAAATATCGATTGCGGGGTCCTACGGAGAAAATCTTCGGCTTTTACTTCAATTGTGTGACGAAAATATGCAAAGGAGTGTTGGCATAGTAAATTCAGTTCAGTATTTCTACAAATCAAAGAAAAATACAAAAAGTCCTCCGTCTTGCTATCAAGAAACTCTGGGCTTGTCCTCATGACATCGACAGATTTAGTTGCACCTTTGCGTTGAACTCTTTGTGTGGTCAAAGCGTAAAAACTTATTACCACTAATAAATTGCTTTCGTGCGTTAATCCGAATCACCATCAACGTTTAAATAGTATATTTGAAGGCCAATCGGTTATTCTTCGAACTGAATTCCCAGTCCAGAATATTTTTTTAGAGTAGTATGTAACTAGTTGAAATGGGATTGCTCCGCCAAACGGTTATGCTATCAAATAGGTGACTCGTTTTTATCCCGACTTATACCTTCTAACTTTTTTAGCGAGCTGCGCAGTACGAGCCGAGACCAGGCACTTGACGATGCTCTGTGTATACATTAGAAGGCAAGGCACGAGAGGGACTCTGTAATGGCACTTAAGCACACAGGGGAACCTTGGGAGTTGGTTGACTGTTCGTACAGAAGACACTTTAGTGATCAAGGTTAAGAGCGTAGAAATAAACGAAAGCAAAATACCAGCCATAATGTTTTTTTTGGATTTTCTAGATAAAAATATCAGGAATATACGCTGTACACAATCTCGGAAACATGTTCCATTGGCTGATGACTACATGACTCCCAAATATCTCTGGAATCTGGCACATTATACACCCAACTCGTCAATCCACGCTGCCCAAGGACATTCGGTCATGTGTGTTTCCATAAAATCTTCCAAAAAAACAGCGCATTCCAGACCCCATCAACACGCCTCGCTCTACCGGACCACACACTTCCCCAGACTACATGTAAACCCCTTCAGACCGCGCGAAACATCAAGTAGCGGTAACACGTCGTCCTGGCAACAAGCATGTGAGCCACCTCGTCATCGCCGTTGTGACCGGCACAACGCTGCATGTCGGAACAATCGTAGCTCCCGTCAGTGGGAAGCATGTTTTCAGTGCATCCTGATGCATGAAATTGTGACCAGGTCATAGGTGTAGATGGGCTCTCTAGCTCTGGCAGCCGCAACGCCCAATCCCATCAAAAGTTGGCAGAAAGGTTCAGACGGTCGACTGGTGCACAGAAGAGTGTGAGGTCAGCAATAAGGACCCCGTTCCCACGGAACATCAACGCATTTCCCGCCACTATAAACCTGACATGTTTGAATCTACCGCAGCGCACTCAAAGTCGTGGCTTGGAAGACTGCCATCCGTCAGGATAAGTCGATCCTCATGGGAGTATTTTGGGACGATTGAAGAACTGGGAGCCAGTCTGCAATAGTCCCTTGTTAATGTGGCTTTTGTGACACTGACTGGTATGGGGTTGGAGCCATTGTCACTTACGTATGCTGGATGACAGATCGTATGTGGAACTCGTAGACGGACAGTTTAACGTGTTCAGCCACTGCGCCCTAGCCAACTTATTGTCGTCTTGACACTTGCTTGCCATGGAGGCCTAGTGGGTGAGAAAGAGAGAGAGAGAGGGCGCGAGGGGAGAGAGAGAGTACGTTGGATGTTGCGCCAGTCTACCTCCCTATAAACCGATTCTCGCGCCGGTGCTGCGACTACTCCGTCAAGCACACTGCGAACGCCGTCGTCCATGACGATCTTGATCTCTCCTTTCAAAGTATTCCTTAAACAATGCGTATACATGTATTGCAAGTGCGTCGTTAGGCCGTCCATTTGAAATGCAACCCACCCTCTGGGACTGGTCCATGTGCTCATCCATAGATTGCATGGTGACTACGAGCCCTCGCCGGGGTGTTTATTGTTGAACTTCTTAGGAGAACGCGGAAAAACCGTATGCCTTCGCTCTGAGCGAACACACCAGTCACGAAGCTCGCTACTGGGCCATCGGGCAAATTAAGATGTTTTACTGGCACTGCATCCTACCCAGTTCTAAAATCGGGGAAATGATGTCGGAAACATAACACTGAGCCCCGCCTAAGGTGAGGTCAAAAAGGAGGAATTTACATAGCATGGACTTTTCGGAAACACTTGTTAATTAGGAACCGCTTTGGAAGACCTGACTATGCCTCTGAGTCTGCTCAATGAGGCCGGGCTTGAATTCAGGCCAATTCCATACATTAAAAAATAGGTAAGAGGAAATTTGAAAACACAAAAAAAAACTGAGGGCACTGACAACGGGATACGAGCACGCCGGTGGCCTGAGGAATTGAGACAAGGTTCGTTAAAAGCTATTGTTCCAGCAACCCTGTCTCCTTATTCGCGACTACTTCCTGGAACTTGCCTCTCCGCTTTCAGAAGCAAATATATCTAAGTATAGCGTGCACGTTCAGCTTGACGATACAGCATGTGTCGGTGAAAAATATGTCTAAAAACAGCTTGGTGGATGGATCTAAGGGTTTTCTGATGCCACAAACTTTGATCCTACATATTATCACCAATTAAAAGGGGACACTGTTTTTTAGTATTTAGTAATAATTAGTAAATGAATTTAACACCCTTTTGCAGGTATTGCCAAAAAGGTATTGCACTGTCGTATCTTTACTCCGATGGGCACCTTAAAGCGCCTTGGCCGCCCTCACGTAACAGCTACCGCAAGGTTTTTTATTTCTTCCTCTGGCACCCAAAAATAAATATCTCCAGTTATCCTCGTTTAGCACAATTGCTCCCTGGAGTAAAAAAACCCCGGCCATAAACCGTACCATTGCCGGAATGGCCATTTAGGGTTGTTACATGTGACCAATTCCCTTGGGCCTGGGACGGTTTGGTAACCCGCCCCTGAGCAACTGTAACGAATTTATAACCGCAATGAGACCCTCTTCTACGAGCTTGGCTTGTGTTTGCAAATTGTGGCTAAGGTAGTGAATCGAGGGTTCTATTAAGCTTGCCATTTATTATTGGCAAGTCCATCTACACTCTCGTGCTTATAAGTTCCGCGTCCAGTAGATAGGTATTAAAACCGGAGTCACTGTTTTAGTTTCCAAGCCGTTGTACAGTACGATTGCATAAGTCAGAACCCCGGATTAAAGCCATTATTTCGGCCGACTGAGGTCTGTCTGGCAATGTTCTTCACCATAACAGTTCAACCGTTGTGCTCGACGATGCCCACCTTGTGGTATTCAGCAAGATAAGGCAGGCGCGGTGACTTGCGTAGCATCTGCCGCAGTCTCGCCTCTTTCACCTGGACCTAGTGTCAAGACGTAGTCAAGAGGACCGGAGATGGTAGCGGACGCAGGTGGCTGGCACGACTGGATGCGCACCCAGGTATGCCATCACATCCCTCTGGTCTACGATAAACACTTGATAAGGCTTTTAACTAACAACAACAGCACCACACTGGGTCAAAAAGACGACGAGGATGACTGGGCAACTATACTCCCCACCTATTTACCCAGCGGGAGCGTAGAAGCATTTACCGGCACGGAACTATGCGTCCTAGAACTGCCACCCCATAACAGACTGCGAGAGCCATAATTTTCCGATCTCGGCATAGCAGATGCATACATGTCTTGGGGCCCAGAAGGGTGACACGCAGCCCTGCATTTGCCTGGGCCATTAACCTTCAAAATACAGAGTAAACAGTCAGTCTTCGACTGAGAGGTCCTAACCTTTGGCTGTTGGCTTTGTAGATATTGTGCCTGTCTTCGATGTTTTCCTCCAGGTCGGTCGGTCACGGGCGATGTCTTCCCGGTTCGCCGGGTTGATGCACAGGCGACTCAGGGAAGTCTTCGTAGTACTCGTGTAGCGCCGGACTTGACCGTCTTGTCAACGGGAACCCGCGGCGGCATCTCCATAGATGAGTCGTTTGGGCAGCCGGTCGTGGTCCATGCGCACGAGGTGGCAGCTCCAGAGCATTTGCAGTTGTCTCGGCACGGCGTGGATGCTAAGGATTCCAGTTCGTTTCAGTACATCCGTGTGCGGGATCTGGTTCTGCCACCTCAGCTGCAATAAATGGTTTAGTCTCTGCGCCTGCATCTTGTCACCGTCCAGGTCTCCATCCCATACAGCAGCATTGGCAAGATGACTGCTTTACACATCTTGGTTTGCTGCTATTTTGGTGATTGTTACGATTCCAAACGGTGTTTTGCAGAAGACCGGAGACCAGACTGGCTTTGAAGATTTTACGGGCGACTTCGGCCTCGATTTTAGTGCTGCAAGAAACTGCGCTGTCCGGATAAGTGAAAGTGTCCACGGCATGCAGATGGGCGCCGTTCACGTTGATGTGGGCGGCAGTGAACGTGGTGTTTGGTGGTTAGGTTTGGGGGTGTCCATCGGTGGGTTCATGCGATGGTCGTAGTAGATCGCTCGCTGCTTGCGGGTGCAGACTACGCCTAGCGTCCATTTGCTGACACCCAACTCTCACATGTGGCTCCCCGAAGCTGGGCTCTGCTCAGCGACAACACCCCGGGCAACCGCCTCAACCGGCGGGCTAAACCAGGTGAGGGTATCCGTGAGTGCATCTGCGCGCACGGTACTGTGGACTCCGCTGGCCGGGTAGATCTCCGCGTCGGCATCGTCGAGACGAGGCTCCGCCTGGATCACCGCAGGTGGCCACAAAGTAAATGAACCCTCAGGTAAACGAACTTTGCTCTGTTTGTCTAATTGTCTGTTAGTGTTAAATGCTGTATACTGCTCTTGGTGCCTGCTCTGTGTCCGTCTAGCTGCGCCTCTCTCTGCTAATAGCTAGGGGTTAGTGTGCTGGACTTCGTATGTTGCCTTGCTTAATACTGTCCGTGCCTGACGGCTATATCTGCTGGTTCATCCTGTTCTATGCATCTTCTCTCCTACTTAGTTGCCCCCAAGGCCTCAGGCTAATTTGGGTCGTTCTCTCACTAACACAAAGCCGTAGTCCATAGTGGAGTCCGGCAGCCGTCTGGGATAACCGGACAGCCCTATTTAGGGGATAAGCTGCCTGCCCCGCGAGGGGGAAGGAGCTGGAAAAGATGTCCTAAAAATTGCTGGTAGCCGCTCTGTCTGTAGGCAGGCCGTGGCCGCAGACAAAACATACACGGTCGAAACAGCCAAAACCGAAACAACACCCATTCTCTCTTCCTCTTTCTATGTATTCACCTTATTATTCTTCTCCCCGCCGCCGGCAGACTGGAATGTTCGTTCCCTTTTAGACAATCCGAGGAGCAACCGACCGGAACGGAGGACAGCGCTAGTGGTCCGGGAACTGGCGCGCTACAAGGTGGACATCGCCGCACTCAGCGAGGCCCGATTCTCCGAAAAAGGCCAATTGGAGGAGGTGGGTGCCGGCTACACCTTCTTTTGCAGCGGTCATCCCAGGGTAGAGCGACGAGACCCGGTCGTCGTCCTCGGCAACCGGAAAGACATCGTGGGACGACTGCCCTGTCTGTCGCAGGGCATCAACGATCGCCTGATGAGCCTCCGCCTCCCTCTCCGGGAGGCAAATTCGCCACCATCCTCAGCGCCTGCGCTCCGCCGATGACCAGTCCTGACACCGCAAGTGACAAGTTCTGCGTGGACCTGCATGCCCTCCTGGCGACTGTGTCGAACGAGGAAAAATTGATTGTTTTTAGTGACCTTAACGCCCCGTATGCACAGGCCATTTTGTCTGGAGGGATGTGCTAGGTCCCCATGGTCCAACGGCAATGGCCTGCTGCTTCTCCGCGCCCGTGCAGAACACCGCCTCATCCTGACAAACACCTTCTTTTGCCTGAAGATACGAGAGAAGACCAACTTGGTGCCTCTACGGTAGCGTCAGTGGCACCTGCTAGACTATGTCCTCGTCAGGAGGCGAGACCAGCAGGACGTGCTGGTGACAAAGGCGATTTCGAGTGCTGACGGATGGACCGATCATCGCCGCTTCATCTCGAAGATGCGTATTCGCCTACAGCCTCGCAGAAGGACACAAGGTAAGCGACCCCCAGGTGGGCTGAATATTGCCTAGTTGTCTTTGCCCGCTCACCATCCTCATTTCAGCAATGAACTAGCTCAACAGCTAGACAACCTTCCAGTCGCTGCTGCTGCCGCCGCTGACGAAAACGCCATCGTGGAGAACCCATGGTGCCAACTGCGAGAAACGGTCCAGTCGACGGTTCTAGCCGTCCTCGGTTGCACACGCCGCCAACACCAGGACTGGTTCAATGACAAGGACGCCGCCACCAGCAATCTGCTCACCGAGAAGAACCGCCTAAACAAAGCCTACGCAGACAACCGCACTGACGACAACAAAACTGCTTTCTACCACAGTCGCCGCCACATTCAGCAACGACTGTGCGAGATGCAGAACGCCTGGACGGATCGCAAAGCTGAGGAGATCCAAGGATACGCGGACCGCAACGAGTGGAAGAACTTCTTCTCCGCGATTGAAGCTGTCTACGGTCCGCCGACGAAGGGCACAACTCCTCTCCTCAGCGCCGACGGCAATACCTTACTCACTGAAAAGACAAAAATTCTACAGCGTTCGACCGAACACTTCAGAGGCGTTCTCAATCGTCCCTCCGCCATCTCCGACGCCGCCATCGCCCGTCTGCCGCAAGTAGAGACCAACACAGACCCCGACCTCCCACCCTCTCTCCAGGAAACCATCAGGGCCGTGCAGGAGCTCTCCAGCGAGAAAGCGGTCGGATCGGACACGACTCCTGCTGACGTTTACAGGCACGGCGGTCCGCAACTCACGGATCACCTGACTGCGCTCTTCCAAGAGATGTGGCGTAAAGGTGAAATTCCGCAAGACTTCAAAGACGCAACAATCGTGCAACTCTACAATCGGAAAGCGAACCGCCCAGTCTGTGACAATCACCGTGGCATTTCTTTGTTGAACATCGCGGGGATGATCTTCGCTCGCATCCTCCTTAACTGCGCGAATAATCATCTAGACCAGGGCCTACTACCAGGAAGTCACTGCGGTTTCCGTCGTCATCGTGGGACCACGGATATGATCTTCGCCGCCCGTCAACTTCAGGAGAAGTGCCAGGAGATGCGGACCCACCTGTACTCTACCTTCGTGGACCCGACGAAAGCCTTAGACACGGTGAATCGTGAAGAACTGTGGCAGATCATGCAGAAATTCGACCATCCGGAGCGATTCATCCAGACGATGCGTCAGCTGCACGACGGTATAATGGCGCGAGTCACGGACAACGGTGCTGTCTCATAGGCATTCGCAGTGAGCAACGGAGTGAAGCAGGGATGCGTGCTGACACCTACCCTCTTTAGTCTTATGTTGTCTGCCATGCTGATGGACGCCTACCGTGATGAACACCCCGGGATCCGCATCGCTTACAGGACGGACGGTCACCTCCTAAATCAACGGCGGATGCTCTTCCAATCGCGCGTCTCAACAACCACGGTTCACGAACTTCTCTTCACCGACGACTGCGCCCTGAACACCACCTCGGAAGAGGATATGCAAAGTAGCATGGACCTCTTCTCTGCCGCCTACAAGAACTTCGGTCTGGTTATCAACACGCAGAAGACGGTGGTCATGCATCAAACGCCACCCAACTCAGACACTCCTCCCAACGCGCCGCAAATCAGCGTGAATGGAACGCAACTGCAAGCGATGGACAACTGTCCGTATCAGGGCAGTACGCTTTCCTGCAGCGCGAAACTAGACGACGAAGTAGTGCGCCGGATTTTGAAGGCCATTCAAGCCTTTGGCCGTCTTCAAATCACAATTTGGCGTCGTCAAGCTCTTCAGCTCAGCGTGAAACTGAAGACGTACAAGGTCGTCAGCCTCCCGTCACTGCTGTATGGAGCGGAGACTTGGGCCGTGTACACGAAGCAGACAGGCCGATTCAACCAATTCCACCTCAGCTGTCTTCGTCACATAATGAAACTGAGGTGGCTGACCTAACTCCCGGACACTGATGTACTGCAACGGACGGGAATCCTCAGCATCTACAACATGCTGAGACAACTACAATTGCGTTGGAGCGGCCATCTCGTGCAAATGACAACGAGCGGCTACCAAACGTTTCTTTTACGGAGACGTCGCAATGGGTTCTCGACGTCAAGGTGGCCAAATTTGTTGAAGCCAGGATACTCTGAAGTCCCCCCTGAAACGCCTGCAAATTAACCCGACCAACTGGGAAGATCTCGTCCGAGACCGACCGACATGGAGGAGGACAGTGAAGACAGGCGATGCGATGTACGAAGCCAACCGCATAGCCGCTGCAAAAGCCAAATGCGAATCACGGAAATCATAGCTGCGTCTACCCCGCAGTGACAACGCACAACTGCTCCTTACGTGTCCACTATGTCAAAGGACATTCCGGACACGAATTGGACTCGTTGGACATCTTCGGATCAACTATGTTACTCCAACCGCATCCACTCTCGTCCCTCCGGCCGACTCTTCCTCGTCCTCTCCGCCGCCAACTAACTCTGTCCGCCCTTCTGTACCACCATCCGCATCCTCCCTCTCCTTCTCCTCCTCTTCCTCCTCCTCCTCCTCCTCCTCCTCCTCCTCCTCCTCCTCCACGCCCTCCTTCTCCTTTTCGTCCTTTTCCTCCTCCGCTGCTCCAACGTCAATTATTTTCCAGGCGGATCCTTCCACGTCCTTGGTTTCATCTTTCACTGGCTTTTCGAGACGAAATTCACTAGGATCATGTAAAATTGATTCCATTTTGGTAACGTAGTCTCTCTGGTTAAGAATGACAACTCCATGGCCTTTATCAGGC